GCTCGATGCCAGTCAACGCGTGTGTTCGAGATGACATGGCCAGGACATGTCCGTCCACCAGGTGCCACGCGATGGTGAGGAACTTGCCATGGTCCTGGTGTATGAGCGTCTCGGCCTCAACCGTGATGCACACAACACCTTAGACACCCGTAGGCATGGATGGGGTGACAAGAGAGAGGAGGCTGGCCATGGCTATCATCCTCGCTATGGCGACAGACGCTACGATAGTGGTGAAGATTGGAGCCTGAGCCCCGACCTATCGAAGCCTAGGCTTTCGGTCGGCACATCCTCAACACGGCTTTCTCGCCGCATTATCGACCGCCGACCAACGTCCCGAAGTACTCCAGAGAGATGAACCCCAGCTTGTGGCTCAAGAACTATCGGCTTGCTTGTCAAACCGGTGGCGTGAATAGTGATTACTTCATTATCCGCAACCTCCCTTGTTCCTGGCCAATTCGGCGCAAATATGGCTGGAGCACCTTCTGCCCAACCGGATTCAAAGTTGGGCGGACTTGAAGGATATCTTTGTGGAAAACTTCCAGGGCACCTACAAGCACCCTAGGAACCCCTGGGATCTAAAAAATTGCTAACAAAAGTCTAGAGACACTCTCCGCGAGTACATCCGACACTTCTCCAAGCAATGCAATGAGTTGCCTGATGTCGGTGACGCCGATGTCATCGGAGCCTTCTTGTCCGGGACCACCTGCGAGTCCCTGGTCCACACGCTAGGACATAAGGGCCCTCGGATCACCAAGGAGCTCTTCGACATCATGACCAGCCACGCCTCAGGCGAGGAGGCGGTCGGAACGATTTTTGATCGCTCCAAAGGGAAAGTGAGGCGGGACGAGGATGCCGCCGAGGGCCCCTCTAACTGTCCAAACCAAAAGAAGAACGAGCAGCAGCATAGGGGCTCGCTCATGGCTGCTGCTAAGCAGAAAGGTGGGCGGGCGCCCACCGAGAATGCTCCCGACCACTTCAAGAAATTGCTCGAGGGGCCATGCCTGAACCATGCCTTCCCCATCAAGAATCTGTACAAGGATTGCGCCCTCATCAAGCGGTTCCTGTCTGGTGGCTCCGACAAGGGGAACTAGAGAAAGAAGCTGGAGCCGGTAGACGACGACAAGGGGAAGGACAGCGGCTTTCTGACCCCAGACGGCTGCCTCATGATCTTCGGTGGGATGGCGGCCTATGACTCCAAGCATCGCCAAAAGATCGCACGCCACGAGGTCTACACGGCAGAATGAGCCATGCCGTCTTTCCTCCGGTGGTTGGAGTCCGCCATCACCTTCGACCGATCCAACCACCCGAATAGCATCCCGCAACCGGGGAGGTATCCGCTTGTGGTTGACCCAAGGTGCTGATGGATGGAGGTAGCGGCCTCAACATCATGTATGCCGAGACACTCGATGCCATGGGCATCAACCGGTCACACATCCGACCGACCAGGGCGCCTTTCCATGGCATCGTGTCGGGGAAGCAAGCCGTACCACTCGGGCAGATCGACCGCCCGTCACCTTCGAGGATCCAACCAACTGCAGGATGGAGACCGTCACCTTCGAGGTGGTTGGATTCCACGGGACCTACCACGCCATCCTGGGACGACCATGCTACGCGAAATTCATGGCCGTCCCCAACTACACCTACCTAAAGCTCAAGATGTCAGGCCTGCGTGGGGTCATCACCGTCGGCACCACCTTCCAACACGCTTATGAGTGCAAGGTTGAGTGCTACGAGCATGCCTCGGCAATCATCACCTCTGAGGAGCTCGCGATCATCAAGGAAAGGACTGCCGAGGAGGCACCCGACTCCAAGTGGTCGGTTGGATCCTTTGAGCCCGCGGAGGGCATCAAGGAGGTCCTCATAGACCCTAGTAGCTCCGAGGGCAAAGTGTTGTGCATTGGCACCACGCTTTCCTCCAAATAGGAAAGCGTGTTCGTCGACTTCCTCTGCACCAACAGAGATATCATCGCGTGGAAACCCTCGGACATGCCGGGCATCCTGAGGGAAGTCACCGAGCATGCCTTGAAGATTAGGCCGGGCTCCAAGCTGGTGAAGCAGCGCCTACGCCGCTTAGACGAGGAGAAGCGCAGGGCCATCGGCGAAGAGATCACAAAGCTTTTGGCGGCTGGATTCATCAAGGAAGTGTATCACCCCGAGTGGTTAGCCAATCCCATCCTTGTACGAAAAAAGAATGAGAAATGGAGAATGTATGTTGACTACACGAGTCTCGATAAGGCATGTCCAAAGGATCCGTTTCCTTTGCCACATATAGATCAAGTAGTCGACTCGACCTCGGGATGCGAAACCCTCGGCTTCCTTGATGCGTACTTCGGGTACCATCAGATCACCATGAAAGAGTCCGACCAGCTCACGACTTCTTTCATCACCCCGTTCGGGTCGGTCTGCTATGTCACGATGCCTTTTGGTCTGAAAAACACGGGAGCTACATACCAGCGATGTATGTTCAAGTGTTTTGGAGACCTCATCGGGTGAACCGTTGAGGTCTATGTAGACGACATCGTGGTCAAGTCCAAATGAATCAACTAGCTTGTAGATGATCTAGAACGGACCTTCACAAAACTACGAGCAAACATCAAACTCAACCCCAAAAAATGTGTTTTCAGGGTCCCGAGGGGCATGCTGCTTGGGTTCATCATCTCCAAGCACATCATCGAAGCCAACCCGGAGAAGATCTCGACCACCACGAGGATGGGTCCATCTAGAATCTAAAGGGAGTGCAGCGAGTCACGGGTGCCTGCAATGAGTCACAAGAAGACCGGGGTGCCTCTTAGGAGGCACTGACAAAGTCAAGGAAATCCTAGCCATTTCATCTCACGCCTCGCTGTGCGGTAGCGAGAGGTCTTGTCCGACTCTAAGACTACCCAAATCCGAAGCTCTTTGTCGTTATCACCCGGTGATGGTCGTGACATCCTTCCCTCTTGGCAAGGTCGTCCAAAACCGGATGCCGACTTCAGGTGATGGAGAAGACCATCAAGTCCCAAGCCGATCCGAGGTCCGATGCTACCAACAATCGTCGACCAAGAGTAATCTTGGATGATGTGCTTCATGGACTCTCGAGGCTTAGGAGGCACTTTTTCGACAAAGTCAAGGAAATCCTCCTAATTTGAAAGCCCGATCCTTTGGTCCCCAAGCCATCGGATGCCCAACTCAATGATGGATGAGCGCGCTCACATTGTTACATCGTGCATATCCCGCCACTACACAATGGTCCTTCATCAACGACCCGTTAAAGCATCATCCAAGAGTAGTAGAGCGGGAGCAAGAGGTCATGAACCAAAGGTTTGGGACTTGATGGTCATCCGCCCCCGACCCATCACCAAGTGCCCACTTGGCGATTCTCCCCGGTATCCCGGTTTTGGACGCGAGAGGGAAGGATCTTGTCCGGTGTGTGACTCTAAGACTGACGCTACCTATAAATCCGAAGCTCTTGCATACGCCATCCCGATCGCTTTCAGAAAGACCCATTCACTGCCTTAGAGCTGGACAAGACCAGCTACGGGCGCTGACAAGAGGCTTGAGGGCTGACCGATCACTACTCATGGAGTCACACCATGGTAGAGCCTGACCCTGGTCGTGAGGACCCGTGCCCTTCCTTCTCTTGCTCCCGCAAGGTCATCCAAATTATCCGGAGGAGCTCTACAAGCGAAGCCACGCCAGAATCGCCATTGAACAAGGAAGGCAAGTGTTGAGGGACATTCACGGTGGGTCTCTGCGGACATCATTTTGAAGAATTCAGGGTTTTAGCGTAGCAGCTCATATATGGATACATATGAATTTCAATCCTTAACTGATCCCATACCTGATCTTTCTTAATTTAACTCTTAAGGAATTTTTAGGACCATCCCATTTGATGATTTTGGCACCCCTATGGGTTGTTAGAAACTTGTGGAAGTTTGCACCGTCACTTAGCTTTTAGAGCTGCAACTTGTTTTCATATATTTCGATGATGATCTGGGCTGCTACGGATGAAAAATCCGGTCACAACTATTTGTTTGCCAAACTTGCCTCAGTGTTATATACATTGTTGAACATACATTATATTAGTTGGTCACAACTGTTCAGATTTAGCATCCAGTACTCTTGAGCAGTGAGTACTCTATGTGTGCCTATCTGTATATTCCATACTTTAATACTGCTTTTGCAATAATGAACCTGCCCCTAAGATAGAACATTATATTTTTCCCGTGCAATACTGCTTTTGCAATAATGAACTTGCTTTAATACTGCTTTTCTCGCGCGTCGGCGGCATATGAATAAAGTCGTTGTCCGACTGTCTCCAGCATCCATCCAGCTGACCAGCTCGAGCTCGTCCTCGGCACTTATTTCAGAAGTAATCACCCCCGTGCCCGACTGTACACGAATTATGAACAATTAGCCTATTTTTAGTTAATGTGTCTTCCAATTGCGTTTCCAGAAAAGAACATTGCACATAACCTGCCAGTTCGAACAAAACTGCATAGTGGATTGGTTCTACTTACATCCCACAAAAAATCTATGTACCTATTACTGCAAGTTTTCATGAACCGAGAGCAAAAGGCGACAATAGAGGGACCAATCCAAGCACTATTTCCTTTCAGTGTTGGATGGTAAACTAACATGGAGATTGTATTCGCGGAACCGAATCATTAGGCGATGGAATTGACCATGCGTGCTTAGTTGTTTCTTTATTTCAAATAAATTAGTTTGAATTATATGTTTTAATGTTAATTATTTGTGATGACATGAGATTCTACAGATATTTTACTTGTGTGGTTGTATATCATGAGATGTTTTACTCATAGCAACGCACGGGCACTCAACTAGTATAATAAATAGTTCAAGTACCACAGGTGTACTCCTAAAATACATAGTACAGCTACACAAGCAAAAACTCAACTGAAAACGAAAGTCCAAACTCCAAAATGGCCAGAAACACAATTGGTATAGTCACGCGATGATCTGTCAAGACGTCATTAAATTTCAAGATACAACTTCAGATTTCACTTCAGGTATTTATTAAACCAGTGGGTCATGTCATGCAGAGCTTCCGCAGCACTCCTGACAGCAGCCACATCATCGTCACTGTATCTCACAGCCCATCCATGCGCTACGCCAGGGAAAATTTTGACGAAGTGATCTATCTGTGGAGCAAAATGGAAACATTGGAGAACTGATGGCACTGAATAGTTTTATGCTAAAATAAAATGATTGTTGTCCAAATTGTTGTTTTGGCCTAACTTTGAAATTTATATTTGAAGAAAATTTGGATAGAGAAGGAAAAAAAACGAAGGAGTGGTGAGCTGCTAACATGGTTATTCAAGCAGGCAGACTTAATGAATTCCAGTGCCAAATAAAGGGCTTAATCAAAACATAAAAAACAGTAAACAATATACTTTAAGGGGGCTCACGAATTGAGAAGCCTCTACTGTATATTAAACCTTACTGCACAGTTTTGCAGATTAAACAATTTGAATGAAGTAAATTTTACTTAAGAACACATCCCTCCATTGCAGGTAAATAATAAAACTATATGCTCAACGCCAAATACTTTTGCACAACCGCACTCGTATTTTTTTCGATAAGGGAAGCTTTATTAATTTTAAGTTCATTACATCGAGTTGATACAAGGATCTTGAGCACTCATATGCATTACAACAGAACATGGAGTTTTAAATATATAGACCAAGTTATCTAATAGTGGAGTCTGAATACTCTCATATTCATGCAAATGTTCGAACTTAAAAGTCAAGGTTTCAAAGATGTCAGAACTTACCCCAGAGTTTGCTGACAGGATCTGCTGAAACTCCTTTAACAATTCTGGGGGTGATGTTTTGTCAATTTCAGCTCCAAGTATAGAAATGGGGCATTTGATCTCTGAATATTAGATAGCACATCAAAGAGTAAGCATTTCCAGCTCTTGAATAGAACAGTTTTAGCATGTAAGGGGAAAAACTATCACAATATATTTGACCTTTAATGTCATCAACAGTAAGTAAAGAAGGGTGTAACAATACAGCTGCCTGGATCTCGTGAACTTTTGCCAGCTCGACAATGACCTTTGCTGAAAGTAGTGCAATCAAGTGTCTAAGGCTTAGCGTGGAGAAAGAGAGGAAGGGACTAGCACAAAGTTAATTTGCAACAAATAAAATTTCAAGTATACTAACAAATAAAACAATTCAAATATTTGTATTTACCTCCCCAGCAATAACCTGCAGCCCCAATGGTCGCCACTCCCTCCTCCTTTAGAGCAGCAATTACTGGTTTTGCCTCTTCAAATGCCTTTTGCTGTTACAAGTGTCAATCTCAGTGCTCAGTATAAAATGAGAGACAAAAGGGAAAAAGTAGGCAGTGCTCATAACCCCTAACAGGTGACTCCTACATCATCAAGAAACATTACTTTGTTTCAAAATAACCCTTACATGCTACTAGCCAATAAAAAAGAAGAAGAAGAGTTGTTCAATCATTTTATGCAGGTATATGCCAAATGGTCATTCAAGTTGACAGCATTCTTGATGCTCATATCAGAAGTTTTTTTGTTGCAACTTCTTTAAGCCTTTCTGAAATTTTCAGTCTACAAATGTCATGGAAGTTGGACAACAACTGCACCCCCCCCCCCCCCCACCACCCAAAAAAGATCACTGAAACAAGCTGCCCTGGGTCCTGTAATAATCAAAAGGTCAAAAAAAAGTTCAGAAGACAACACACCGGAGAATGTGCCTGCAACCACATTGCACGATTATTGGGATTGCTGGGGTCGAATGGATCCCCATGCAGGAAATCTGGCACTACGACCAAGTAACCTGACAAAGCAACGTTATCCGCTATCTTCCTTCATGAGAAAAACTTTTACCATCAGTGTAAAACAATAGAAAGCAGTAGCAACTAATTGCAATTCAAAGAATCCTTGGCCAATTCTAACACTATAAGCTGTGAAGCAACTTGCACCAGACTGGCTACAGCAAACACCCAAGTCTGACTGGGGTTTTCCTTATATGCGGTTTACAAAAAAAAAATCTCTGTTGACAACAGTCCCTAATTCCCTATAAGGCTAGAATTAGGGATTAGGTAAGGGAAAATATTGTGCCAGCAGATGATGATTCAATGAGTTAAGTTTTCTGAAAAGAAAATGGCCATGATATACTAATCCCCCACCCCCCAACGAAAAAAGAGAGAAAAAGGTTGGTGTTTGGATCACTAGTCCAAGTTTAGTCCTCTGCTAGGTTGTTTGGATCTATAGGCTAAACTTTAGTCCTCTAATCTATAATAACTGATTTACCCTCATTTAATTATCCATGCACAGCCATGCATGCGAGCGGCAAGGATATGGGGCCTCTTTGGGAACAAAAGATTTTAGCCTAGTTTTTAGCCATTTACTCACATTTAGCCCCCCTGTTTGGATCCCATGACAAAAAAAAAAAGAGGCTAAAAGTGCAGGGCTAAAGTTTTGCCATGGATCCAAAAAGAGCCAAACAATAGGTCTCTTTAACCTAAGCAGGAAAGTTAATACTAAAGGCAGACTTTCCATATTTATCGGCATGCAGAATTTTCTACAACATATACAAGATCAGGTGTAAACTAGCAAATGATGAGAAGGGACAATACACACTTTCAGAGTCATAATAGCAGTCAAGAGCTCATTATGACTAAATCAATAGAACAACTACAGGGCGATGGTGCTGCAAGTAAAAAATCCAAGGGTTCCACCTTGTCTATTTCAGAGGGGCAAAAACGGAGGGGTACCTCAGCTTTGGCGCCTCAAACCCTGTAATGAAGGGGAATAGTTCGGGTGATTCTTGTAGGCGAATCTTGGAAAGTACAAGACTTCGATTCTTGCAATTTAACTCAGGCAAGTAATTACCGAAGACGTCGGAGACGAGAATGAGAGCAGCTTTGGACTCCGCCGAGCCGGAGACGTAGGCCTTGAGCCCGCCGAAGTCGTCAACGACCTCACCCACTCCGCCCGGCGGGCTCTCCCAGCAGTGCGAGCTCGCCATCCTCTCAGTTCTTTAGTTTTTCCTAGTTGCAGAGTGCTGCCGTTGGACTGAGGCGCTCAAGTGAATCACTCCAAAGTAGTCTGACAAGTGACAAGGAATGGCATCAAGTGAAGCGGACGGCCGGCGAGAGCAGGCGAATGTCCTTATGTCCACGCCAAGTCGCCCTTCTACTCAGAATTTTTGTAGAAAAAGATAAGTGGTGAGGGTGCTGTCCTGTGTGTGATCTCACTGCTGATGCAATTCAAGATAGTGCCTGCCTACCGGGTTTGGTCGTTCGTACATGTCTGGTTGCTGTGGTGAAGAGGGAATAGCAGCGTAATAGTATTACCGGCGCGCCACAATACTAAAAACTTGCAAGATACTATCTCGTTAGAATGAGTGTGTTCTTTTCCTCAGAGCTGCCGAGCACACGGCCAGGGCTGGGGCGACGGCGAGGGTGCACGGGAGGCACAACCAAGCCGTCCGAGATGGGGAAAGACCGCAGGAAGATAGGGAGTGGAGGGCTGACGAGTGGACCCCGTATATCAGCGAGTGAGAGGAAGCAGAGTAAGAGGGGTATTTTGATTCCATATAAATATACACAGCTATTTGTATCTGTGTATATTGACACAAAGACATGATAAACAGGCTTATGGTATATTTTAAGTTCTGAAAAATTTACTACCTCTATCTCAAATAAATCAATTTCTAAAGCCATTCAAAGTCAAACTATCTTAAGTTTGACTAACTTTATAGGAAAGAACGATAACATCTATAACATCAAAATAAATATATTATAAAAATATATTCATGATGTATTTAGTGATACCAATTTAGTGTCATAAATATAGGTGCTCTTTTCTAATAAAGTAAGTCAAAGTTAAGTCTAGAAGTTAATTTAATTTGAGACGGAAGAAGGATATTACATCAGACCTATTTAATAAGAAGCGGTGATGTGCCTCGGCCTGTTGGTGATGGCTACGAATTCAAATTAGCCCGAATTTGGATTTCTTCCTAAATCTAGAAAGCTTCGGAATCCAGCTACAAATACCCTTCTTCATAAAAATCATAATACTAATGTGCTGGTCGATTTGGAAAGTGAAAAATGGCCTTATCTTCGATCATCTCCTGCCTTCGCTTGAACACTCAGAGATTTTCCAAGAAAGAATTTGTGTTGTTTCTAGTTTTTTTTAGATAAGGGGTCAAAGTTCCAACCTCTACCATCCGCAAATGATACATAGCTAACAGTCAGAATACAAGTCAAAGCCACAAGGTTTGCACACCACAAGTAAAAAAACAAACTTTAGCCCATCTAGTGAGCGTTGCACACAAGAAAAATAACTAATCCGCATTGCTAAAACTACATCTAAACTTCGCAGACTCCCAGAATTAATGTCTCCTAGCTTTTGCAGTCCATCTTAAATGGTGGCCACTCCTCTCTATGCAGCATGGGCCACTGTCGAATCCAGAACGTCGCCCTGAAAATTACTTGTATAATAGTGTTAGATTTAGCCTTGTTAAATAATATATCATTTCTATTCAACCATATTACCCAACAAAGTGCGACTACTCCTAGGAGAATTTGGTTTTTGAGTTTAGGACGTAATCCATGAAACCAAGAACAAAACAAATTAGCAAAGTTAATAGGTGGTTGAATTCCAAAAAGCGATATGCACAGTATTCCAAACAAAGCTTGCAAAGTGACAATCAAAGAACAAATGTTGGATCATTTCAACTGAACTACAACGACAACACTTACACTTCCTCTTTGCTAAATTATCTTTCGTAAGTGTTATCCCTTTTCAAATACCACAAAAAAAAATCTTAATTTCAGCGGTATTTTTAATTTCCTGATAGAGCTTTTGTCAGGAAGAACGCCTTGTCGGATCAATGTTTTATACATGGACCGGACTGTGAACATGTCATTCTTAGGTTATCTGACACAGCCTATCTTATTTCATAAGTGTTACTAAGGTATTCTCACTATAACACAGCTCATAGTAATAATTAGGTGGTGTCCTGCACGTTGCTGTGGAATCTTTAGAATATTATTTCAAAAGTATAAATTTTAAAAGTATGTATAAAAGTATAATTGAAACTTGTGCAAGTCATATAAGAACAGATATTCAATAGATGAATACAGGGTGGGAAAAAATTAAGATAAATGAATGATTATCTTGAGTAGGAATAACATAAACGTGTAGTATATGTGTGAAACTTGGGTTCCTTGTATAAGAACCAATATTCCTCGGATGACTCTATCTATATGGTTTGAGACAGGTTTACATATGGTCATCCAAATGTTTTTGGTAAGAAACGTTGTTCAGGTAGGAAATAAAATAAAATTCATACATTGTGTAACCGTAACTACATTGAAAAAATAAAACAAAATTCATGTATAGCACATATATCATCATTTTCAGGAACTTTTGTAAGAAATTAAGGCCTCATTTGGAACGCGAGAATTTTATATGAATCACGCAGAAAATCAGTTCATTTTCACACGAAAACGCAGGAAACGTGTACTCCAAACAGCATGCACCCCTTCCTCGGTTCCTCTCTCTTTGAAACTTACATGTGGGCCCCGACAGTATCTTCTACTTCCTTCAAGAATCCTAGCCACTTCTATGTTCTATCGAAGCCTCCGCTTCAACTATCGCAGAGGCCGCCGCGGCCTCATTGCGCTCGTACGCGGCGCTTGCGCTGCTGCTCTGGCCCACGCCGCCTCCAGCCCCACGCCGCGCACGCGCCCAGAACGCCGCGGCGCTGCTTGCCCGCGCCGCGCATGCGGCCACGCCGTTGCCCTTGCCCACATGCTTCGCTCCAATGGTGGGGAATGGCGCTGCCGGTAAAGGGGTGCGTGTGATTCCGGCAGGTGGTGTCGGACATGGTAAGCGCGCTCCGCCTGACTCGTAAGGACGAAGTGCGACGCCCCCGTCGAATCGCTCAGCTTCGAATCTGGTGAGTTATGAGTTACTGAGGTGAATAAAAAGGCCTCAACTCTGATTTCGACGTTTGGTGTTTTGACTGGCATATCAGTTTCAGATTTGAGGTTAAGAACTTATGTGATTGCCTGTTCGTTGGATGAGGATAGACGGCAAGATCTTAGAAAACAGAGTCTGATCTGACGGCTCTAAAATGTTGATGATGTGGCTTAACGTGGTGCGAGCTATAGCAATTATGATTGTTAGTGTCCTCCATCTATATAGGTATATAGGATAGGATAGGACATAGGATATAGGATATATGGAGAAAAAAAAGTCATGTATTCAGCAATAATAGAAACTGACAGAGTATAAACAAAAGTTTCAATCTTCCTTCTGACACAGGTCATCAGGCTTATATTATACAGAGTACAACAAAAATGACATACAAGAGCTGCGGGGGTAGTCCAGCGAGCATGATGGTAACCATGCTCATGTTCTTCCTACTTCAATCCCTGGCGCGCCCTGCCGTTGGTAAGCGTATAATACCTGATATATCACTTTCGAGGCATTAGATTAGATCTATAATAGAGTCAAAGGCACTTTAAATTAAGTTTGCAATACCTGATCTATCGCTTTCGAGGCATTAGATTAGATCTATAATAGAGTCAAAGGCACTTTAAATTAAGTTTGCAATGGAGTGAAACTCAACGGAGATTTTTTTTTTATAAAGAAGCTTTATTAATTTTAAGTTCATTACATCAACTCAACAGAGATACAAGTAGATCCCATCCCATCTTTTTCTTGGCCACTTCTCCTACCTGATTTTTTTTTTGTTATTATTCAGATAGAAGTAATTTTGTCATTAACTATAGAAAAAAAATCATGAATGGTCTCTTGTGAATTTTCATTTTAATTCTACTATTAGTTGTGTAAGTTTTGCCTAAAAATCCAGGCACATGAAACATAGCAAGTCCCTTTCTTAGCTTAGCATGCGGGAAGAGTCGATTCGCTTCGATCTCTATTGACTCTGTCGATCGATATGCATGTGTAGCAGTAGCAGCTAGTACTAGGTTAGTTTCGTTGTTGCATGGTGTGGATCATTGATCAATTGGTTGGTTGGTGGGGACATATATATGTGGCGCACCTGCCTTGGCACACCGCGTTCATGTTCTTGAACTAGCTAGCGCGATCGGATGTCAATGCTACCTGTGCTTTCTGACAGCTTCAATTATTAGTATTAGGTCTGCATGCTGTGTTTAATTTAGATTTACAATGGACCATAAATTGAGAAGATTAAACTGCAAATCTGGCTACCCTTTTTCCAGGTAGCCCGGTGGTGTTGTCATGCCCATCCGAATTGGCACTGCAGATGTCGTGATGCTATTGGAGCAATCGATTGAGTTGTGTTAATCATGATAATCGCGATATAAACCTTGTAGCTCATTTCCTCATTTACCGAGATACAAGTGAGGATCCAAGATTAGAAAGTCATATATATAATGGGGTTAAGAATTATTAATCTCTACTAAAACTGATAAGTGACAACCCAGTTTGCTCATGCGAGTTAAGTTCTTCACTGAAAACATATCTTTGTTCCGCTGACAAGATTTATATGACCAACTTGAACCTATGTTGGATATCCTGTTCGCTCGTTGCAATGGAAGAAAAAAAAAGCTATCAAACGTTAATGAAAACAGGATAGCAATGCTATATATCTATTATGTTTTACCATCTTTATAAAATTTTAAAACTATAGCCTATTTTATGATAACCATGACATCAGTAATATAAGTTAATATTGATAATAATGTGACAATATCCTAATAGGTTTGTATCATATTAGAATACAACCCTGATAGATTTTTTTTTCCTGTTGTAAGGCACAAAAATATTACTACTTATCGTAACTTTAATTTTAATATTATCTATATGCTGATAGAGTTAAATATCGAGTTAGGTGACTTTCTTTGATTATCCATAGAAATATGTAATAATTCTAATACCTGATTAAAGTCATCAATCAACCCAGGGGTTGGTTGCCGTCATGTTAAAAATTGGTTTGCCCGTTGATAATTATGAGAAAGATCTCTCTCG